GCTGTCACAACCGCCACTCACCCCCATCTCACCCTACCCTAACCCACCACTAACTACCATGTCATTATTGTCGCCTTCATACCCACCCACTCCCAGCCATCCGACCACCATCCCACCACTGTCGTCCTCACAACTGCCACCCATCCCCACCGCCCCGCCCCACTGTGGGTGGGATCGTCAAAACAATTACGATTGGTTCAATCCTATTGAGAGATTTCATTCCAATTCCTATCAACCAAACGCGTGGTCAAATTCCATTCCAATTCCTTCAAAGTCAAATTATTTTAATGCATTTCAATTCCATCGAATTCCATTCTATGAACCAAACACCCCCTTAGTGTATGGTCTTACGACATGTTTAACAACTATATTATATTAGAAATTTTGAATATTTAAGAAAAATAGCTTTACCAGTTATTTTAAACACTCTTTTAAAATAGAGAAAAAAAGCCCAGAGATTAGAGAAATATCTAAATTTGAAAAAGGAGATAAAAAAAATATTGAATATATGTTAGAGACGCTCTTAGGGTGACATTTAGCAATTACACAAGACAAAAATTGTTGAAAAAATAGTATCGAGAAATTTGTGCAAAATTTTGATTAGATTTGTAACAGGTCGATAGATTCCATTTCGATGAATGATATTTGAAAATTTCGTACTTGTCCCTTGTTTTTGGAGTTTTAATAAACTATAATGTTGGAAGTTTTTTTGTGCTCCTTAAAATTTATATTTATTATATTGAAGCAAATTAGACTTATTTATTGAATATATTTGGGATGAAAAGAAGGAAGTGAATGCACATCTGTTCGGGTGTCTGCTCCCTGTTTATGCGCCTCGAGTCCGACCTCGTCTAAACCCTGATAGGTTTATAAGGAAGGAGTCCTTGTCGCATTACATGACTTGTTGAATAAATAAATTCATAAAAACAATGCAAGAATGTGAAGGCGCTTGGTCCACTAATCTAAGAGCGATGAACGAACCTCAATCATATATGATTTATTAGTCTAAAAAATAAATGTAATATAAACATTCTCGTGTTCCCTTTATATACTAGGCTAGAGTAAATTACTTGTTTCATCTTGTTTTTTGAAAATTCAACGGATCTTGTCCCTATGGTTGCAATTTTGAACAAGTTACATCCTTGCACTAGCAGTATATAGCCAACTTTTAACAAGTATTGTGCCATATGCAAACACGGTTACTTAACCAAGGAATCGGACATATGAAGTTGCTTCTTTCTTTATGATTTTAATCTTAGGCTAACAAGAATACAGATACAGGCTCCACGACCTCCTTCCAGCGCAAGAACTGATGCACAGCTAGTGAAAGGGAAATCACCTTCTTTGGACGAAAGGAAACAAAGTGTATAACCTTAGAAGAAAACCAACACTCAGGTGAAACATGAGCAAAGCAAAACCAAAGCAATCCATCAACACTTAACAGAATCTCTGCAGGCTAAATATCTAATGAGTTCATCTATGTTATGCAGCATTTATGTGTAGAAAGTACGCATGCAGTATGTGGAACATGAGTATATAATCTAAGAAAATAAATTGGGGATACAATCAAGAAATGTCCTAACCTTCTTCTTCYTAACAGGTTTGAGTATTTTAATRATGCACTTCTCSTCATTAATACAGTGAAATCCCTCGAAAACMTCGCYGTATTTTCCCCTCCCAACCTTCCTTACCACCTCATAATTGTCCTGTTCCCTGTAAAAATCAAGATCGCATAAATGAGAAAACAATAAGCAACAAAAAAGACACAGAAACGATGGCGCACGCCACAAGAGATCGCTAACCCCCATAGATCAGCGACTCGTAATCCCAGTACTCCTTAGGCCGGATAACATTAACATCGGTATAAACCCTAGCCTTGGACGGCGCGCCGGGACGGCGGATAGCTTTGCCGATCTTTTGCGCCAGGGTTTCCTGCAGTGACAACGTCGGCCGGAGGCTATTGAATGAAGGTGTAGGTGGGTGAGGGAGGGGGTTTTGAGGAGGATATATGTGTTTGTGTTTTTGTTTGCGGTGATGATGTTGTTGCGGTGGAGCGGTGGCGGAAGCGATGCGACGGAGAAGTAGGGTTGACGATGGGGAAAGGGAGGATTTGGTGATGTTGATGGAGGAGGCGATGAAGTGCAGAGAAGGCCTTGCGGCCATCAAACGGGTGTTATAATCAAGAACACGGTCTCAGATCGCACCCTTTCTTTTTCTTTTCCAACATACGCCTTTATTTTTCTTCTTTTGACTACTCTTTTTTATTTTTACTTTTTTTTTTAAATTACATCACCCTTGAATTAGGGTTGCCATTTACCATCGACACGGTGCCCGATTCATCCATCCCGAGCCTTGATTTAGAACGCTCCAAGATTGTCCATAACGGTGCTCGAGGGTATGTTCGCCTCCTCAAATTTGTCAACTTTCAAAGACGTATATGTTCCTTGCTCGCCGGACCAAAAATTGCATTCACACAAGCTATTGGAGTGAAGATTAGTTCATACGAGAAGGAAATAAGTGAATGTATGTTACTTTAAGGCAACGAATTGGGGTCCCAGTTAAATTAGCAGATCAATCATTGATTTTTTTGTGAAATGTCACTTCTGGAGTTATATAGTTCGAATTGAATTAAGATCTTCTCATTTGTTTCTTTTAGAATATCTAACTGGGGTGCAAACTATTGAGGTCATTTTCCCATAGACGCAACTACAATCAACTCAAATGTTTTGACGCTTGTATCCAAGGGTGTCCCAACGAAACAATTACACATGAAATGTACAAACGGCCATTTGATTACAGAGTGACACTCTAACAAACACCCATAGGAGTCAACACATGCTCAGCAAATTAGCCGAACATTAACCGAGTCAAGAAACAACTCCAAGAAGAAGCATGTGCTTGGAGAGATTCAAATCAAGTTTCCCTAAATCAATGTATTTCCCATCAATGGTCCTTAGTCGTAATTAACATCGTACTTGAAGGGCATTAACTTCCTATACGTATTTTAGTACATGTTTAGGTTTTATTGAGGCTTTTCATATCTATTTTCTAAAGTTTACTGGTATATTTTAACATGTACAGTAGTGGATTAATGATCATCATTTAGGGTTTTTTGCGTTACTAACTTCTAGTGGTGTTGTGTCCTGTTGTGTACTTTATTGTTTTACTTTGTTAATTTTGTTTTATTCCCACGTTTATATATTTATCTTGTTCTTGAGTGATAATTTGGCCAAAACAACTCTCAACATATTTAGACTTTTCATTCAATTTATGACCCTATATGTGTGTATATCGTGAGAACTCCCCTTTTCTATGAAAACCACTTTGCAACCATTGATCGTGTTTGATCGAACGACGATGATCACACTTCTTCTTTTTGTAAAGGAGGGGCATTTTGCTCTTTTGATATCCGTATTTGGGTACCTTAATATACCGTAACTCGATAGCCTTCATGTTAAGGTTATGTAAGATTCAATGTTTTTTAATGTTAAGATATGGTACAATATGTGATGCATGTGATGGTTAGTTAAGGTGCAATGTTTTTCACATCAAGGGATGTTAAGGTCAGTGTCGAGCAATCGGAGTTCCACAATTAATGCATCTATGTTAACATGTTTTTGTCACTTTTTGTTTTGATGAACTAAAATAAAAACGATTCAATATATTTTTAAGGGATTCTCATGGTTTTCATGAAAGATAAAAAGTTATTACATTTCCAATTCTTATTTGAACCTCCCCATATACTCCATTGATCTCTCATTGCTTTGCATAGTTCGTCGATTATGCACCTGCTCAGTCATTATCCGTCATCATTCTCGTTATTTATTTGAATTCCGATTAACACACAAACCCATTTTCTTAACCTCAAATTACACGAACATGATCGCCCAAATAAGAGTTTCAAACTCAATTTATTAGATTAGAGCATGAGTAAAGTAGTTTGAATTTTAACTAAATTAAATGCCTTGTGATCATATATAAGTTTTAAACGGAAAAAATAACATCTATAATTATTATATTATTTTTCAAAAATAAGATACGTTATTTACTACTTTGAAGCACGTCCAACTACCTATATAATTAATCAAACATGTTAGTTGTTCATACAAAATTTATGAATTTAAACGTCCTACATAAACAATAGCTTATTAACATTTTGAGTTTTCCGTATAAACCATTTTTGTAAATAAAAAACATGTTTAAAAGTTTGTACAATATACCGAATAAAATGTGTTTTTATCTTGACGAGCCCGAATCTCGAAAACGATCCCATATTTTCAAAGGGGAGGGGATACCCCCTTTCTGTTCCATCGGACCATCTATGTACATTGTCGCATTCATATTTACGACCTAACCTACACCTTATGTAGTCTACAAGATAACAAGTTTTCATTTTTTTAAAATATATAATAATTATATATAACATAAATCGGCATACATTTATTTTCATGAATGTTTATGTTTATAATGGATTAAACTTCAGTGGATTGGTATATCTTTTTAGTTGGGACCCACCAGGCCACCATTATCAAGAAATGGCAACAAAGGTTGCTTTTTCTTCTTTTGATGAACTAAAAAGTAAGTGCAACTACATGAGAATTCAATATCCTACATTAAATGCCAATATATCAATTGGATTTTATTTAACTTTAAAATTCAAAGTACGTTTACAATAGAATCCATACTCGTCAATTTGTAAGAAGACGAGAAGTTGTAATATTACATATGATTAAATATGATACGAACACTTAATTATATATGATTAAACACATTCAAAAAGAAAATGGAAGTCGTAAGGAAAGTTGTCTGCTATATGTTGGTCCATGCAACATGTTTCTAATCATATATAATTCAGTGTTCGTATCATATATATCCATATGTGATCTTGAAACTTCTCACATTTTCACAAGTTAACCGCATTCTCATTTGAACAAACTATATATATATATATATATATATATATATATTTTTTTTTTTTTCAGTGGTACCATATTTATATTAACTTCCTGTTGCACCAGGGTTTTTTGTGATGGGTAAATTTCCGTCATAACTACATCTTGGAATATTTGGATTCCTCACCACCCGCGGTCCTACTGGCAACTTGTTACGTTTTGGTCGAATATCCTGCATTTAAGAAACGATATGTTTCAGTTTTTCAAACACATATCTAGCTTTAATCTGCCAACTAATTTAATATCGGAAAAGAGACATTGAAGACAGACCGATCGATATCTGGTATACCTGATCAAAGATGGCCGTCGGAATAGCAAGTGTTGCAACAGCATTTGGAGCATCGACTATTCCTGAAATCCTCCCTTCGCACGGACAACATGACAGTAAAAGATACMCCTGATGAATTCAAAACGTCACCCTTCAAACCACATATGAGAAAAGAAGTTTCAAATACAAATCATGTTATTCATGCAAACCATACAAACCAAAGGTTCTTTTATTATGGTATGGATATTTATGGAAGATTATCAGAGATCTTTCATTATAATCAACGTTTTATATTAAGAAACAATCGACATATTTATTGAACCATATATTCATTAAATTAGATAAACATTTGAGATTGGTTTGTATGGTTTCTACTAATTAGAGGGTTTGTATTTGAATATCTCTCGAGATGTGATATATATTGGATCAGCTTGGTTTGGTTAATCCTAACCTGTTCCTTCGAGTATCCAAATTTGGAAAGGTAGTCAATTGCATTCAAAACCGCACGCTTGTAAGCAACACTCGCATCAAGGTAATGTTGTCTTCCACTCTCATCGACACTGATTCCCTCAAATACGAGCCATTCCGAGAATCTTGGCTCTACCGGCCCTATCTCAAATATCGGATTAACATGAAGAGGAGTCGGTCCCATTGGAGTCAAGTATTCCTTCATCCCGCCTCTTATGATCTCACATCTAATAACAAACAACCCCAAATTGAAACAAAACACTACAACACAAATCGGATGCTAAATATGTCTAAATGTTATAATAGAAAAAAACCAGATATATGAGATAGTGAATTGTACTTGAGCTCAAGAAAACCACTCATCTCGATCGCCCCACAAAACGAAACTTCACCATCGCCTTGTGAGAAGTGCATATCTCCTGTACTAAAGTTAGCTCCTTCCACAAACACCGGAAGGTAAATCTTGGAACCTCTGCTTAGATTCTTGATGTCACAATTCCCTCCGTTTTCCCTTCCGGGAATCGTTCTTGCAGCTTCGTTAGCAATCTTCTCCCATTCCCGACTTCTTTCTGGAATCTACAACATCAATCAAGGCTTCATTTACCAACTGTTTGCTACTTATAATCGTTCTCAAATCATTCATACCTTGCCAAGAAGGCATCCTTTTGTGGATGGCAGGTTTGCTAATGGCCTTGAATGCAAAACTTCACATAACTTGAATGATTTTAGACCATTTTCTTCCAGCTCTCTTTCTCTTTCATTCCATATATTAAGTAGCTCCATTGAAGGTGCAGTTCCAATTATTCCAGGATGAGTTAAACCCGGAAACCGTACACCTGTTAATTCGATCAACATCAAACACTTGTGTAGTTTGTTTGTTTTAAATGAAAGCTTTTATAATTCAGTCACCTGGAATATGGGGAGAGTAAGCATATATTCCTTCAAAATACCAAATAGCTTTAGTGGCACATGGGAAATGATCAGTAAGAAAACCACCACCGTTTTCTCTGTCAAAGATCGCCGTGAAACCCCATTCTTCACCAGGAAGAGGACCCAAATTGCATATCTCAACTGAAAGAAGATCTCCTGGGTTCGCCGGAATTCCTTCCTCATCAACCACTCTGATCGGCCCACTCAAATAATGCACCTGAAAACCAGTTTTCCAGCAAAGTCAATGGCTTTTTTTCTTTCTTTTTCGTTTCATCAAATCAAATGGAACTTGATCACATATGGCATATTGTATTACTGTTGAAAGGTCCACGTGTTTAACATCAATAGCAGAATCGTCATCTTTAATGGCACCTCCAGTCCAATCCACCATATCTATCCTGAAAAATTCCCCAGTTTTCACCTCAGCAACCGATGGTATCTCAGGATGCCAACGGTTATGGAGGGGAAGCTTTTGCTCCCATGGCTTCTTCTTCAGGTCTACAGGTACTACTAGTCTTGGTGTTGAAGGAGCCATAGATGATGAATTGTTACTGTGCCTGTGACTGTGTGTGAGAGAAAGTAAGAATCTTCTAGGATATATATACACATGATGTATATATAACCAAATCAAGAATCTGTGGCCGGCAGGTGTTGATTCATTCCATCAATCTGCAATCGGATTTTTTACCATTTGGGCTTTTGTTTAATTCGTATCCCTTAGGCCTCATTTGTGTCAATTGGATTTTTATTACTTGGGCCTAATTGTAGTAGATATTGGATAACAAGACTTACAACCGACTGGTCAGCATATTTGATATCGTGGGCGGTGTATTCTCGTGTGATCCCGCCTCCAGAAAAGTCCACCATCTCGATTCGAAAAAGCTCACCAACGCTAACCTCGGCAACTGGTGGTATATCGGGGTGCCAGCGGTTGTGAAGGGGGAGTTTCTGTTGGGTTGGTTTCTTGGTGACATCTATTGGCACTAGGAGTCTTGGACTCTGATGAGCCATTTGATGATAAAAACTCTGGTTTCCAATGTTCCTTTTGGCAATTTAGTCGACAGAAAGTAAAGGAATGGAAAGCAGATATTTTATTTGTTTCATTTTCAATTGGAAAAATGTTGTTGTCTGGCATATCAATTCATTGTAGTTGGATGGTGAAGGATTGATGGGGATGGAGCATCTAAGCAAAGAGATTTTTCAGTTTTTTGTTTGAAATATGTTCAAGTAGTAAAAATAAAGAGATATGAAGTAGAAATCTTTAAAACTTAGTATTGGAAAAGGAGATATATTATTTTTGTAGTTTTTACCAATAATGTAAAAAAGCAAAGGATTGTGTGAGAAAGATAGTTAAAATGAGAAGCGTAAAAAAAGATTCGAACCCTATGGTTTGCAGATTGTTTGTGATAAATTTGGATTTCATGAAGGGATTTGGAATTCTTTATGTGTTTGGTTTGTAAGATTTGAAATGAAATTGGATTCCATTGTTTGTAAAAATAATTAAATTACATTTTTAATAATGATTATTAGAAAACAAATGTTTTTAATGTTTTGTTAGACCTTATTGCATACAATCATTCAAAATCCCATGAAATCTCAAACACCTCTTAAGGATTTCAAAATCCTATGAATGTAGAATTTCAGTTAAAAATCCTAGAATTTTACATCCAGACAATCCAACAAATCAGATATGAGATTGGAATGTATTTGAAATTCAAATCCTTTAAATACATTCTATTCCTGCAAACCAAACGGGACCTAAAAGTTGGGCTTTATTTGACTATAGCATCTCCACCACATTCTTTAAAAAATAAAAAAAATAAGTTTTTGTTTTGTAGTTTTACTTCAGTAAATTATATATATTGTTCTCTAAATTAAAGAAAATAAGGAAAACTCTATGTTTAATGAATTAAAACTTGATGGGCTATGAGATAAATGAATTTTCTTTATTCATTTTCACCATTAATATTAAAATATTATTATTTTATATAATTTTTTTAAAGTGAATTATGTTTTAGTCCTTGTGGTTTGTTGGAAATTTTTATTTTCGTTCTTATGGTTTTAATATTTCGGTTTTCATCTTTATGGTTTGTAATTCATTTTTATTTTCACTTTTGAGGATAAAACACTACTTTTAAGTATAAATGATTAAAGTATAAATAAATTATAAACCATAAAAACAAAAAAAATCAATAAATTTTAAATTATAAAAACGAAAAAAGTAATAAATTTTAAAACATAGGGATTAAAATTGTAATTTCAAAACCATAAATACAAAAATTGAAACTTTTAACAAACCATAAAGACTAAAAAGTAATTTACTCCTTTTTTAAATGCTTTGAGATAATAAAACTATACGTAATTAGGGGGTGTTTGGGATTGCTTTTAAAAGTGGTTTTTTGACTTATTTCAGTATGGCACCGAAGATAAACTATTTTTTAGTGTTTGGGTAAGAAAAAAAAATTGCTTATACCGGTGCCAAACCGGTAATAAGCAGTTTTTGATAAGTTAATCCTTCTTGACTTATGAAAATCAACTTATTACTAGTTTACCATTTTAACCCTGTATAACACCCTTTCTCCAATACACAGCGTATACATCTCTTCATCATCTTCACGAAGAGATATACACACAACACATGCATCTCTATAGATATCTCCAGATATCTCTTCACGAAACAATCATCGTCTATCATTCCGATCATCATCATCATCATTGATATCTCTTCTCCATTTATATCTCTTCATGAAACCATCATCGTCTACCCTTCCGATTATCATCATCATCATCATTGATATCTCTTCTCCATATATATCTCTTCACGAAACCATCATCGTCTACCCTAACCCACCAATACCAACAGATACGATTGTACACAACCGATACGATTCTACCCTAACCCCAGAAGATCGATACCTTAACCCAATACGAACAAAGATCGATACCTTAACCCACCAATACGAACAGATACATCGACGCAGATACGGTACTGTGTAAGTCCTTGATTTCTCTCCTGTTAATCTCGTTGTAATTTGGGATTTGATGAATTCAGACTTCTCATTAGTATATTCTATTGTTTTCTTCCTGAAGTTGTTGTTTGGATCTGTTTCAATTATTAATTTTTACCAATGTTAATTAGGAATTAGCTTTTACTTGTTCATTGTTTTTCTCAACTGCTATAATCACCAAAGCTGAAACCTCTCTGTTCTTGTTCATCGTTTTTCTTTTGTCAAAGAGTGCTTATTATTATGAGATTCTACAAACATATAATTTCAAACAAAGCAAGCAAAGTTCAACRTCTAAACCATTGAATTTACAGTAATAAATTTAGGCACACTGTTGGACAAAAATTTGGAAGCTTGAGTAGTTTTCTAATATCCAAACACATGCCTTGGTTATAAAAGTTTACATTTTTTTTGTTATTGATATTTTGGTTATAAATCTATTATTTTTATCATAAATTATTAATGATATTGATATAAATGTTTGTTAATTATTCTTATTAATACAAATTATTAATCTTATTGATATAAATTTTTGTCATAGATATTATTATAAATGATGAAAAACAAATTTTTATATGTTAAAAAATCAAATAAGTTAATAAGCAATCCCAAACACTCTCATAAGTCAATAATATGGAAGACTGTCCTTTTTGGTCATTTTATAGATATAAGCAAAATTTGTCAAACACTAAAAAACAACTTATCAGCTTATTGCAGTTTGGTACCGCTATAAGCTAATCCAAACACTTTTTACAGAACTCCGGTTTGATACCACATAAGTTAATAAACATTTTTACAAAAAAAACATAAGTTGTTTTAAATAAGCAATCCCAAACACCTTCTTAATGATATAATTAATGATGAGATTTATAAAATAATAACCTATTCAAGTTAAATTGTCTTCCAAAAGATGGATACACCAAATTATGTAATCAACGATGATGAACTCGTCACTTTTATATTAATTTATTTTTTTTCTAATAACTTATACATTTACATTTTTTATCGTTTAAAAGATTTATCAAACATTTTTTTTTATAAAAATCAATTAGATAAATATTTCTAAATATATTATTATTTTGGGGATTTCTGGCATATCTTGTGATTAGAGTTTATTGCTTGCGTTGACCAGGTTGAAAATATATAAATAATTTAACTCAATGTGGTTTGAAAAATCTTAACATAACCTAACCCAACTCAATCCAAAGTGTAAGGGTTGATCGGGTTGATGAAGTTGATATTTTGACACATTAAAATATTCCCTTGACCTTGAATATGTTGTCGTCTCTATTTATAATTCTTTTCTCATCATCAATTACTTTGTACAACTCATCCACGCTTCTCAAATCTTAGGTAAATCGTATTCAACTGCTTTTCTCAATTTGCATATATATGTTCACATTTACTAAACATAGAACATATATACGAAAGAGTTGTATAAAGATGGATAATATATTGAATATATATATGTGTGTGTGTGTGTCCGCGCATGCGTATGTGTGTGTACACACACACATAAGATACGTTATAGTGTAATTGTCTAACGTAAATATTAATAGGGACTCAACAATCATATTAAATACAAGAAATAAATGAATATTGTGTTCAAAATTACCGTAAACCGATTCCAATCAAATACATATGGTTTGAAGATTTACACCTCGATTAAAAATCAAGTTGCTTCAGATTGAATTATTACACGTTAGGTTAGCTTGGGTTGATCGGATTTTTTTTTTATCATACCTACTTGTCATGCTTTCAATGAAGAACAAGATGTGGTATTAGGTAAATCAAGTTGGAACTTGTCATGGGATTTGATTCCATAAGCATAGAGTTTAACAACGTGATGAAAATTAAGTATTAGGGGCCGTTTGGTTCGTGGAATTCAAATGGATTTCATGGAATTGGAATGACAAATTCCCTTCACCAAATTTCAATTCATTTGTTTGGTTCATTTCTTAAAATGAATGGACTCTTTAAAATTCCATTGAAATCCACAAATTAATGAATTCATCATTAACTGGCATAATG